TTATGGTCATTTTATGTGTTGAAATACTTACATTGTTTATGTAGGAAAGTGATCCTATTGTTCAGCCATCTAAATTATCTGTTTCTTCACCATATTATCAAGGCTTACTTCAACAGTTCTAGTTTGCATAGAAATTACATGCAATTTCCTTTTTTTTTTTTTTTTTTTTTTTTTAAAAAGAACAATCACTATATTCACAGGGAGAATTTGTAAAACTGGAAAATCATATTTAAAACTTCAAGGTGTATATAAATTGACTTTAAAGAGGCCAGCTTTCTGTCAGGTGTGTGGGAGTGAATGACAGACTAATTCCTATACACAGCCAAGAAAATTGTGAGTTGTCCTTTTACCAAGTATTCAGTTACAACTGGCCCTATATATATATGTATTATTTCCATATTATACCCAAGTATTCCTTTTACAGCTCCTTTACATTTTACTCCAATGTTATTTGCCTATATAAATATACAGATCAAATAATCCATTCTGAAAACTGTACTCTCAGGTGCCAGTGTTTTGTATTAAAAATGTGTTTAACCTTATTGTAGTCTGCAATAATCTCCTGTATATGTGTTAGGGAGCAGATATCCTAAATATGTTATTAACGTTAGATTATATTTAGCAGGTTAGAGATAATCTGCTGATTTAAGTAAACACTACAACAAACAGATACCACTAGAATCTGCTGTCAGCATCTTTTTGCACCACTTCTCAAGACTCCCTAATGTGCATTTCACATTACAGCTAAAAACCTTTTATTTGTCCTATTATTTATCCAGCTGTGGGGTCACTGCACTTTCACAATAATAAAAAAAATAAAAATCTAGGCAAATACATGTTACAAAATCACGGTAAAAAAAATTATCAAAAATATTCTGCTACACATTATTTACTGCAAGCATTTACTTTTTAGTTTACTATCGACATAACACAAAGAGCAAGGAGATTGGATTGATGCATTTCATTCAAGATAGGTGTAGAACAATACTTAAATAGATGGTCTAGGTAGATATTCCATGTATGTAGGTATAACAGGGTTGCACTGCACTGAGAAATATCAATGATATTTCAACATTATCAGAATGCTCTCTAGAAAGAAAACATAAGAAATGGCATTTACTTTTCCTCCTTGAGATCTTCACGGTTTTTTGACCCATCTGTCAGTACACCTGGTTGATAGATTATTTCTTCTCACTGGCTATCACGCTAGAGAACATAGAAACAAAATCCCTTTGCAGCCAGCTTTAGTACTGCTCTTTATATTGGCTGACAAGTGGAGTCAAGAAGGGACAGTTGTTACCATCTGCCTAAAAGCGTGGTCTGGAACTTGTGTATGTATTTGTGCACATCAACAATTTTCCAACATATGTGCCTAAATTTAGTCTCTGAATTCATTATTGGGCTTTCAAATATGTGACCTGGTTTTCAGAAGTACTGACCACTCAGACATCTGGTGATTTCAGAGTAAGCTGTGATTATTCAGCATCTCTTGAACAAAATCACCCAGTGCAGTTTCCATTTTAAATCAGTAGAAAGACAGTTGTTGAATCAGTAGATACTGAGTTGGCCTGTGGATATTTAATCTTTGGCAACCACATTTGACACTCTTGGCCAGACACGGTAATCACATAAGTCAATCTGTTAGCCACATGAAAACTGCACTGTCATATAATCAAAAAAGTATCACAGAACTCAGGCCATTATTACTTTGTCTGTACCCCTTATTTAGGCTGATTTGTGGCTTAACATTTTAAAATCCTGAGCATCTTTTAACAGTTAGCATCCTTTAAAAATGGAACTGTCAGAGAAATTTTCTTCATAAATCTGAAAGTTCCTACATCTATATATTATTACTGTATGTAAGATACAGAATACATCAAGCCTTGGATGGGCATGTTGTGACAATGATATGGAGAGACATCATTAAAGCTTATTATCAGGGAAGCACACTAAAAAGGTCTAATGTTCAGTAAGAACTTTTGATTTTGGTTATCTGACAGTACATTTTGGAAGACATGCAAAATATACGGTGGCTAAAATCTTTTGTTAGTTAAGTAATACAGTAACTTTACATTTCTGTGAAGAGCAAGTTCTTCATTTCTGAGGTTTACAGCTCACTTCTATAGCCTGTGAGGGTTAACAGTGCTAAAACTGACAGAATGTTACTGACTCACTAATTTGACTTCTTCCTGTTCTGGCTTCCATCCATGGATGTTCCAGGCCCGGAGAATGCTCATTCTAGGCTAAAACTTGTCTACCTCTTAATCTCAGTTACGGAGGAATTTTTAGAAGAGGTATTGATTAGATCAGCTCCTCAGCTGTTCTAACGTACACCAATGGATTAGAAAATTTTCTCTGCTCTGTGTCCTCTTCTATGTATAAGCACAGCTTCTCTATGCTCAGGCACAGCATACAGCCTATTATACTGACTTTAACCTTGAAAATTTTTAATGCTATTTTAGGCATATTTAGAAAGGCTTCCTCTCTGCCTTGAAAAGCTGAACTCATGGGAACAAAGGTGGTTGAGTTTTCAATCGGAAAGATACAAAAGCAGTTCCAATTTTTTTGATCCTCTGCAGCCTTTCTTTTCTTTTTTGTTAACAAGACAAAGATTTTATTGGCACAAGTTTGGAATGATCTACAAAGCCTTCTTTGTCAGTTGCAGTAATCCTCAGACACCTGGCCAATCATTCCAGATCTAAATTCCATGGCAGTCTAATTTATAACAAGCAGAAACATACCTCGTTCACAGGTACTTGCAATACTCTTACAATTCAAAAGTAACATCAGTTTTGCCAGAGAGGAACTGACTGGCAGTTTTCCTTGTTCAGAATCAGAGGAATAGCTGTGCAACAGGCAAACCTGAGGGCACAACTTGTTTTTCAGCTATACTGCTGAAAGCTGTTTTAGACATTTTGGCAGTTTTTTTCCACTGCTGTATACTGAAGACATTTGCAGGATACATGTGTTGCCTTTTGTATATTTCGAAGTACTTAATTTACCTTCTGAATTTATCTGAATTTTTCTGAATTTCCTTTGAATTAAACTGAAGCTACAAGAACTCTCAGGATTTCATTAAGTCCACTCCAAATGTGAACATTATTACTGCCTGCCCCAATCTCAGTCCATGCAATTACTACAGCTGTGGTTTTACAAGAGGACTGAAGAGAAAAATATGAGGTGATAAAGGTAATTTCTACATTGTAGAACTGCAAAAAATTATCTTCCTCCTCAGTGAGCCACAAAAACAATTTCTCATGCTCTTTCATTCATGAAGCACCTCCTAGCTCATTAAGATCACTTAATGGTGAACCCTTTGCTATGTGCAAAGTGTATCTTTTTCAGACTTGATGACAATAACTAAAAAATACTCCATGTTTGTAAGATGTTCTAGTTAAAGTTGCTATGAACTCATGAAATTATAAGAACAAGCTCATTCTGTCCCAATCTGTAATGCATCTTTTTTAATGAAAAGAGAAAGGTTAGTTTAAAAGATGTGTGCTCAATAATTCTAAAAGGAGAAGTGTATTTAGTGTCAACACACTTCAGGTTGGTATTTCACACATTGCTGCACTGATATGATACTAACAATTACAATTATTGGCTAAAAGAATAAAGGCTTATGAACTGTTAGCCGTGTAACTAAAAGAAAGGTCTAGAACCAATTGCGTTTTAACCATCCAGCAAGCCTAATACCAATGGGAAAGCGTGCTCCTCATAGAGGAATGACAAAACTTAGTAGAAGCAAATGGGGCTCTCCGATGTTGTGCTGATTCAAGAACGTAGAGGTGTTCAAAACAAACTTCTGTGTTGTCATTCAAGGCTGATTATAATATTTGTACATCATGGGACTGTTTTCAGTCTCTATAAGCCTCATGTCACTTGTAGCCTCCCTGTTAAACATGTTTTGCGTCTTCAACTCATGTCTGCTAAGGTATTCCTTTCATGTCTCAAGCTACCTTATTGTTCAATGGCAGACACCTTCTAACATTAAACTGTACTTTTAAAGCCTCATGATTGCAAACATGCTGCCAGTTGGCCTGCTATACTAGAATCATCATCTCTTTTGTTCTCCAGCTGCAATACATTTTGTATCTATACATCCAAACATTCCATTACAGTATGAAATGACTATCAAGGAAACAGACATTGACAGCTTCATTCCAGTCTCCACATGACATTTCTTAACAGAAAATACCTTTCACATCAATACTGCCTTAGATCAGACCTCTCTAGCTGCTTTTTTGACAGATTTTCACAGCTCTGGAATGTCCGTTAATAATGATTGAGCTATATGGCTCAGGAATTAATGATTGGCTAGAAAGCTCCATTGACTCAGTGCTCAGCAAAGTACTGTTTTCTTTAGCAGGTAATCAGTCCCTGGGAAATATTCAGAGGTTGCATCAACATTGTTATTATTAATAAAAATGAAATCTAGAATTTGGAACATGATTATTGCAATTGCTCTATATGTTCTAGTTGCTCTATATTCTTCAGATTTATCACCATCTCAGATTCAGGTTCACTCATTAACTTTCCTAATTTTACTCTTTTTCAAACTCTCTTCTTTACATAAAAAACCTGCAAGAATCACTTCTAAGAGTATATACAATTAAATAGAGAATTGAACATGTGTAGTGCACACATATACAGTAATGCATTTATATAACTTCCACAGAGACACAGCTATATATTGCTACAGGATTTACCAGAAAAAAGCACCTATTTTCTAGCTTGAAGTTGAACAAGCATTGCCATTGATCCACATGTGAAAATCTCAGTGAAAACAAGTGAAAGAAATTAGAGGAAAATATAATAGAAATACTTAATTTTAGGCACAGACCTTATATAAAATTAAGTATTTCACTTAACTAAATGGATATGTGCTTGAGTAAAGACAACTGTGTAGGTTCTAGTTGAAACATTCATCTTCTCAGTTGTTTCAGAGGCAAAATACATTCCTTATGGCATAAAACTATAGAAAAGTACGTAATTCTTACCTTAAAGCAATGTCAAAAAGAGAAGTCTTGAAAGTGGAAGGCGAAGGTGCTAAGCTGGGAAATCTTCCGTGTTTCTCAACTTGATAAAGGCAACTGAAATACATTAGAAATTTATTGGCTGACTTTATCAAGAAAAGTTTTATGAAATCACATAATGTCCCCAGGTGTGCCTCAGTACTGCATGTAAAACCCATTTCTCTCAACTAGTTTTCTTGTTTCCATTATTATTCTTAATGGTTTTATATTTTGATCATGCAGGTGTTCTTTCAACTGCATGCTATGAAGCCATTAAAAAACACTGCTGCAGGTCTGGTAAGAAGAGTTTGTGTCCTAGTCTAGAAAAGCTCTAGTTCATCATTGGAACTCTAAGACATGGTAGAGCTAAAATAACTTCACTGCTAATATGACTAACAGGCACAGAGCATAACAACTGGAGTAACGTGACTAGTTAGGGTAATATGATTTATGAGTTCTGGGTTCTATGGGTCTGATCCAAAGTCTTATGGTGCCATAGAAAACATGGGTTTTTAAGGCCCTTTAACCACATGCCATGTGGTCAGATTCTGATCACACGGACCCAAATCCTGCAAATGATCTAGCCGAAATCCTTTGAGCTTTTTTGCTATAGGGGAATTCTTAAGGAAACCCCAGGAACTCAGCTCAACAAGAAACTTGTACCATAGTTACTCAGGATTAATAGCCCATAAAATAAATCATTTTTTGATGCTATTATTTCTGCACATGTATAGCACTAATCATGCAAAATATTTAAGCAGCTTTTTAGCAGTCAGATCAACAGGGAAACTTGCATAATCTTAAGCGCCTGACAGGACTGGACCTTAAACGTCTCCAGATGCAATAATAAGTATGGAACAGATTCATTTTGTGCAGTATTTTCAGCACAAACTGCATCACAAAGTGTTAAATAATAAATAATAGCAGAGAGAAGTATACACAAGGGAGGAATGATATGATTTCAGAGGAGACTTGAAAGGGGATGTTGATGAGGTGGAGGTTTTAGGAATTAAATATTAAAAACCAAAAAGGCTGGTTTTGGCTGGGGCTGATTGTTTTTCTCTGCTGAGAAATAAAGGGACTTTCTAACCTACCTCCCGGACAAGGATGCAAGGCTTACTGTCAAACTGTTTGGCGGAATCATCACTGTACTTAAGAGTCTATTTTTAAGAGAAGGCAAAGGATCGCAATTAGCTAACTACAGCCCTCTCCGATTCCAAACGTCTGCTTTGTCCTCTGCCTCACCTTTCTGTTTATTTACCACTTACAATCTCCACACGGAGTTGGCCGAAGTTCCTGAAGTGCGGCAGCAATGTAGCCCCCCGGCAAGAGCAGGTGGGAGAGGAAGGGTAGCGTGCCATGGCCGGGGCCCAGCACACCAGCCCCAATCCCCAGGGACAGCAGCAGCCCACAAGGCTGTGAGGATATCGCAGACATACCCCCATGGAACAGGGAAGCTGCCTGAAGCACCAGCCCTGCTGTTAACTCACGCCATAATGGGCTTATTTCCTACATTTGGTGGCAGCATAGTATTCAGGATAATGTTACTGCTACTTGCACAGGTTACCGCGAAACCAAACGACGGAGATGAGGGAGTTAAATAAAAGGGATGGGGAGTGAATCACTAAAAAGTCTTTCCCAGAGTCAGTTCTCTGTTTTGGGGGAAGTTATTTTAATTCCCTTTCTCGCAAACAACCCGCAGCCTCACCGTGTCCTCTGGAGCCTGCCTGCCTGACAATATAACAAGATTTCTAAATAAATGATGTGCAGGGGCAGCTCATGTTCAGCAGACATAACGGCAGCCCCGCTCTGAAGGCTGCGGTGCCGGTAACGCCGTACCTGTGCACCGCGGGCCGGGCTGAGGGCAGCGCCCGCTCACGCCCATGCCTTAGCGGAGGCGCGGCCCCATGGACACCGCTCCGCCGGGCGGACCTGCCTTCGCCTCACAGGTAAGCCCGTCTCGGAGAGCCGCTAGCCTGCCGAGACAGCGGTCACCGGGAGAAGGAGCGCTCCACTTACCGGGCGCCGGCGCTCTGCCTTCCTCCCCTGAGGCAACTGCCTCAGCCCGGGCCCCGCGGGGCTGAGGGGGGGGCTGCGCGAGCTTCAGGCCGCCCGGGCCGGCGCGCGACGGCCGTTACCCCCCTCAGCGGCGCGTGGGGGAGGGGAGGCGCTCCCGCGCTTTTGGAGACGCACCTGTGGGGAGCGCCCGCCTGGGCGGGAAGTCTCTTATGTAAGGGACGGCGGGGAGCGGGGCCGGCCCCGCCGCGGGGCTGAGGGGGGTGAGGCGGGGGCCAGCG